CAGAAGGCAACTTTGCGGACACAGAGAGAAGGAAGCCGCAGACGTGGGCTTGAGGCGTCAGGGAAAGGCACTCAAAGGGCTGAGGCTGAAGGAGAAGCAGGAGCTAAGTGCAAAGGCCACTGCCGTGAGCCATGGCTGGGGACGTCAACTCCACGGCAGCCCATGCTGCACCGGGCCACGTGCCCTCTGACTTACATATGGGATTTCACCGCATCCTCACCATAGGTGTTGGTGTCGTTGACATCTGCCTTTCACAAATCCAAAACAAACACGCAAATGCAGGGGGCAGAGGACCTGGACTGGGCCAGACAGCCAGTGAGTTGGCAACATGAGGATTCTAATCCAAGTCTGGGAAACCCAAAGATTGTCCCCTCTCACCCCACGCTAGGTGGCCACTGGGACAGGCCCACAGCCGTGCCCGGCCTGCATCTCCTCGGCACTCTCCTTCCTCACTTACACACTATATCCTCCCATGTGTAGCATCTGAGCAATTTCCAGGCCACAGACAGCTGCCACTGGTGGTGAGAAGGAAGGACATCCCAGAACGAGACACAGTAGGGGAGGAACTGGGAGTCCAACATCTGGCTGCTCTGGGAGTCAGGAAGGTGGAAGTGGCGAGGCCATTCCAGTCTGGGGGTCACGGGCTTCCACTGGGGAAAGAGGGCAGTCCTCTCGTTTCAGGAATTTTAGGGAGGTCTGATTGTTGAGTGGCCCAAAATGTGTGGGGGTTTTTTCGACTTTTTTTTCCTCTCTTTTTGTATGAGGTCTCAATCAGCAAATGAAACTGCAGACACTGTCAAATGGAGCTTGCATGTTGGAGGCTAGGCAGCACAAGACGGCCCAAGACCCTGGGCCCTGCCATCCATGTGGGAGACCCAGACGGAGGTCCTGGCTCCTGGCTTAGGCCTGACCCAGACCTGGCTGCTGCAGCCCTTTGGGAAGTAAGCCAGTGAATGGCTGATAGCTCTGTGTGAGTGTGTGTGTGTGTGTGTGTGTGTGTGTGTGTGTCTCCTTCTCTCTTTGTAGCTCTGCCTTTCAAATAAATAAATCCTCTAAAACTAAAATTAAATCACATTAAAATACCAACACCATGCTGCCATCCAGGGTCCATTTGCATGAGGTTTCTCATTGAATGTGCATGACAACCTTGCACAGAGGTGTTATTATCATCACTCTCACTGGAGAAAAATGAAGATGACAGGGGCCAATTTTTTTTTAAGTTAATGAATTTACATATGTGTGTTAATTTACATTTATCCCAACTTTTGCAAGGAAAACTGTGAGCAGTGCCATGCCGACAGAAGGTAGACAGTCTGGAAGGAGGCCCAAGGTTGCAGCGGGCTCTCCGCATTTCTCACTCACCCATGCTTCCCAGCCGTCCTCCCCACCAGCACGTCTACTGGGGATACCCAAGTCATGGGTTCAACTTGGAATTCCTGATCAGACAGCAGGTTCACCTGGGGATTTCCAGCAGCAGCAGCTGACAAGCTGGGGTGAGGGCGCCTCACCTGGTTGAGATGGTAGATACTCTGCAAAGCCCACCAAGGTCAGCCAGCCTCACCTCACAGGGCCTCAAGAGAGAGAGCTGGGCCTCCAAACTGCCTGACCCCCGGTCAGATCAGGTGACTTCTCCACGCTTTGGTTATCATCCCCATGCCTATCATGGGAATATTAATGGCGGTTGCTCCTCCACACAAGTTAAGGGGAACGAGCGGCGAGAGGGATATAAACACTCTTGCAAACCATGAACTGCTACATGCACACGAGGGTTTATTTTCATTGCTGCCTGCATTATGGCCCCAATACAATCCAACATTAAGTAGAATATGCTCAGGGCTGATGGCAAAATTTCTGCCACTGTCATCAAGAAACATATTTTGAGCACCCAGCTCTGGGAAAGAAGAAAGTCAGAATTCAGGTCGCAGCGTGCTAGGTTCTAGAACGCAGATGGGACAGAGATGAGGTATGCCAGGCGCCCAAGTAGAGGTCATACAGGACAGACAGGAAAGGAGGGAATGCTGGACCTGAGTCTTGAAGACTTAGTGGGACTGGGCCAAGGGGACAGAGAGAAGGGATTCCCAGCAGAGCACAGCACGGCACAGGCACAGAGGCCTGAGAAGCCAAGTGTGGTCATCTCATAGGGAGGAGCGAGCACCAAGGTCTACCAGGGCCCAGCCAGCCTGGCCCCTCCCTTCATCAGGAAGGAAGGGGATCGACTCATCCATGGGGTGTCACTGCAGGTGCCCTGCGTGACTTCTCATGGGCAGAAGCACAAAGACGGCTCCAAACCTCACCAACCCAAATGATTTGCAGCATTCTGCTTCTTACTCTGATTTCTTAGGGAGTCCCTGAAGGCGAGCCAATCCCTGGGGGACATCAGCTGAGTTCCAGCTGTCGTGTGAGCAGGTACCTACTGGTTTCAGATTCTTCTCTGGGGAAGGAGAATCAGCTGAAGTGAGTAGCTGTTTCCTGGATCTACACGGTTGTTGCATTTCACTCGAAATGCTTATGGCCAAGGACGAATCTGCTAGGAAGGCAGAGAAACACTATGATTCCTGTGACTGCAGCCTTCAAGAACCGGCTGAGCATGGGGGCAATATTTCCTTTGTCTCAACAGCCAAAGAACTGGATTCTGTGGGGTTTGAGAGAACTTCAGGCAGAGAAGACTCAGAGGTGGTCTCATCCCACAGTTACTCCAGGCAAGACCTCAGCATAAAACTGCCTGACCCATTAGCAGGCACCAAGTCTCGGCTTGAATGACGTCTGTTTATTAAGTTCATCATTTGAGAGATGTTACTTCTGCTGGAAACACACATGTTGCACATCAAGAAAGAGTGGGGAATGTGGATTTTTGGGAAATGGAGTCGAATCGGGCTCCTCTGCTTACTAGATTGAGTTACTCTGACCTCAGGCAAGATATTCAAACCCTCCCGAGCTTCTTCCTCTTTCAAGAGCGGGTTATAAAACCTTCCTTGTTGGGGTTGTTGTGAGGATTAAGTGGAATCGTGTATACAAAGCGCCCAGCAGAGGAGCCTGGCATGCCAGCAGCACTCACTAAATGGAAATTGTTATTATCTCATTAGCCCAAACGCCCACCCAAGGCCAAAATCCTTCTTTAAACAACCCTGACAAGCTACAGAGCTATCAGGTCCCTGCTTGAATAAATATTTGTTGATTGATTTGGCAATCAGTTGATTCTAAATACCTGGGAGACACACATGAGCCATCCTATTTCTCCATATCCTCTATAAGACCACGCCCTCGCCACTGGGCAGCACTTACAGGGAAGGTCCCAGCCAGGATTCACGGTCACTGCCACTCCTCCCCAGTCCAGGGCCTGCCCTCTTAACTGATGGGGATTTTTAACGGTTCAGACTCCTCCCAAGAACCTCCCAGAAAACAGCACATCCACGGTACAAATAGCCTATATGTGTGGGAGCACTGTGGCCCTCACAGAGAACCTTGTGCGTTCCCAGCTTAGCTCCTCCATGCTGGCCCTGCACCACACAGGGCCATGAAGCTGCAGCCCCTGCTCCTCACTTTCAGCAAACACCCCCACCTTGTCCTCTCCTCTCACTCCACCCAGAACAGCGAGCAGAGGGACCCAGGGCTAGACTGTGGCTCTGCAATTAGCGCACCCCAGTGCAGACTCCAGTCTCTCCCCACCTGGTGTGTCTGTAAGCCTCAGTTTCTTCAGCTACAAAATGGGAGTGTGCTGGCACCCACCTCACGGAGCTGTTGTGAGGGCTGAAGGGGCCAGTGCATGTCAATGCTCAGCAGGATGCCCGGCACAGAGTAAACACACAATTCGAGTTTGCTGTGGTCATTTCCCCCTTATTCCATCTGTTCCCTCCTTCCTTCTGCATGCTGGCACAGACACGAAAGCTTGCCACTGCCGCACTCAAAGCCATGCTCCAGAATGTACTGAGCTCCAAAGACTTGTGACAGTCCTGCGTGTCGTGCCCTGGGTGTCAGGCAGGGGACACTCTGCCCGAGTCAGACTGGGTCAGTAGCTAACACGTGCCAGACTCAGCCCTGGTGGAGCTCTGGTTGGCATCCATAAGGTCTTTGCTTACTAAATAAGAAGCACTTGATTTAAAAAGTAAGGACTCCATAGAATGAAAAACTGAATAAACAGACTCTTGGGGAAGAGAAACAACGAAAGGGAGGCATCAAGGTGAAAAATCCGAGAACCCGATGTCCTTCCTCTTCCTCCTAAAGAACAACCCTGCATTGAGTGGTTACCTGTGCTAGGCTCCGGGAACATGAGAGGAACACACCATGCTGCCTGCCCTCTAGGAGCTCACAGTCTAGTAGGGGAGTGATGTATAAGAGGAGCCCAGTGTGACAAGTCCCCCAACAGGGTACACAAGAGCAGGTGCACAGCCTCAGATTCTGTGAGCTGCTGTTTCCCAGAGAAGGCGACACTTACATTGAGACCTTTTAACCACTTTTATTAGATAGTTTTGCTGGTTATAAAAGTAACACATATTTGTTGCAGGAGATTTGAAAAGCACAAGGGTCATCACATAAAGAAAACATCTACCACAGTCTCACAAAAACCCATTCAGGAGCATCTCCCTATCTGTCTTTCAGTGGATGTCTTTAACATAAATCCACTCATTACATCTACACCATCTGCTAGGCTCCCCTCTGTACTCAACACTGAAACACAAGCATTTTCCATCAAGCTCCGTCCAGAAGAGCAGCCCCCGGGAGTCTGATTTGGTGGACCATGCCCAGTAGCCAGGGGTGGCGTAGAGGAGATGCAGACGAGCAGCTGGGCGTTAGTGAGCAGCTGGGGTTGGCAGCACCTGCGGAGAATCCCCCCACAGCGAGGAGCCCTGGGGACGGCAGAAGGGCTGGGGTGGCAGCCAGCAGACTCTTCAGGCTGAGGTCCTCGGCACACAGGCGGTGGTGGAGGTCATGGGGCTGGCTGAGATCCCTCAGGGAGGGTGTGCAGGGTGAGAAGAGAGATGACTAGGGTGAGGCCCCTGCCCTCTAGAAGCTCACAGTCTAGTTGTGTTCGCGTGCACGTCATTCACCCCCAGCTAGATTGTAAGCTCCTTGAGGGCAGTTACCATTTCATACACGGCAGTCCCTTGCCAACCAGGGGGCTTAGGTTTCTGAAAACCCCTGGCAAGGAGATGGCAGGCTTGAGGAATTTAGGACCTTACTGGGGAAAAAATAGGGTTAGGGGGATGAAGTCATCAGTGAACTTGCGAAAGCAAAATCGTTTTACATCGATATAAAGGAAAATGACAACAGCATGCTCAAAACAGTGAGTATCAGTGACACTTAAGGGAGCAACACACTTCTCAGTTAACAAACAACAAACACTTTACAATTTATTTTCATTCACCATCCATCCCTGTAATAGAGTGCTCCCCTTCACAGTTTTAAAAATAACATGTAAATTCATTTTTGCCTTGCTGGAAAAAATGAACTTGCTAAGAGTCATTTTGTTATGTGTGTGTTCCCATCCCATTTCGGCTGTCCTGACTCTGAGCTACTGGCTCCTGTCTGTTGGTCCCCACTGTAGGTGCAAGCACACACCCACACCCTAACAAGCAGGAGTGTGCCTGTGAAACTGATACATCTGCTCCCACCCTCCTCTCTTCCCCACTTCACTTCACCGCAAACACCTGTCCTCTCTACCCTGCACCCACTTCCCCTATTTTCCTCTTCCAAACTCTGGGCCGATTTCATCAGTTCCCTATGGAAATGAGCAAGCACTTCTGATCCTGGATTTTCCCTGGCTTCTGAAAGAGCAGGCACACAGATGGGAGGATGTCACTATTAGAACTTGGTGCCTTTCTTTGGCAGACCTGGCACATGGCTTGCCCACTAGCTCATAATCAGGTGCTCAAAGAATTCACACTGAACTTAGCACTTCTCTAACTCCCAAAGTACAGGAGGTGGATATTTCTTTTGCTCTCCAATCATTGCTCTGAATGAATATTCAACCTTCACACAGCATAGACATGGCAATATTTGTGGACACATTTAATTTTCCCTCCTGGCAGGTCATGATGACAAGAGGCATCTAATTGATGCCATCTATCTGCATTCATGATGGCAATTCTGCATTCCACATGGCCTGCTCTCAATATATTCAACAGATACGACTCTTCAGCAAAGCAGTTCACCATCTTTCCAATCACACAGACCACTTGGAGAAAGCCAAGAGGCTGCTGACCTATGATTTCCCCATATGCATTTTTGACATAAAAGATTATTATTTGGACTAAAGGGAGGACTTGCACTGTTTTCAATGAGATACCAACAAAACAACACCTTATACATGAAACAATCATGAGTTACATTTACACAACAGTTTACAAAATGACATTTTTCTCCCACTTTTTCTTCACAGCAACCCTGTGAGGTGGCCAGAGAAGGCACTGTTATTTCCATTTTACAGAGGAAGAAACTGAGGCTTACCCTACAGAAGAGATCAAAAGGGGCCAATCCACTAGGCAAATGTGAGCCCTCCGCTTCCACCAAGGTTAGCTTTCCATCTGGGTTACAGATTTTAAAAAGCACAACAGCATTGCAATGGTGTTCCACGGTCATGTCACCGCCAGGGTTTAAGAGGGAGTCCCCACTTTCCCTACCCCCAACCTCCCTCACCTGTGCCCCAGCCACTGCACAGATTAAGGACCCAACATGGCCCAGGGAGATATGTGAGTCCACGTTGCCATTTGGCACTTCCACAACCACCACCCTGTGAAGGAGGCCCTGCCACTCCTGTCTAGCAGATGAGGAGGTGGAGAGAGGTTACTTGGTCAGTTCACCCAGCTTTAAGTAGGAAACCTGGTTTGAAGTGAGTCTCCTGGACCTCGTGGTCTTTTCCATGGTTTTCCCAGAGCCCATGGTTGGCAAGGAGGAGGATTCTGATCGAAACCCAGGACATCCGATGCTGGATGCTTGGGTAACGTTTCTAACACACTCCTCTGCTTCCAAGAAGCAAAGCAAAGGCCTGCAGGTGATCATCCCCTGAGCCATCTTCTCATGGTCCTCTTGGTAAAGATGCAGAAACAGGCTCAAGGAGTGCACCTGCTGGACTAAGGACCCATGTTAGACAAGGACGGAGCCAGGACTCCAACACAGCACCTCACCAGCCAGAGGGCAAAGGCAGGGGTGCTCGCCTCCATCCTCCCTGCCCAGCACCACGCTGGTTTGGCGGGAGCCTGACCATAAACCCAAGCTGCTTCCCAAGGGCAGGGCCTCCCAGAAGGGGCCCTCAGCAGACTAAAGCTGACCACCTGGCATCACAACAAAGCCAACTCCAGTCTCTACTGCCTTGTGAGAAAAGCACAGTCTGTACTGAGAGTGAATTCCCCAGAATTGAAGCCTTCCAACTCAGGAAATGGGGGCTGCACCCACTCCCTCATTACACAGGATCTTTCACCAGCAGAAGAGGGGGAAAGCCCCATGAACCTCAACCACGAGAACACGACAATTTTACGCATGGTTCTCAGCAAAATTAAAAGCAGAAACGGAACGTAGACTAGTGGTTGCCAGGCACTGGGAGAGGAGGAAATGGGGAGGGGCTGGTTCATGGGTCCAGAGTTTCCTTTGGGGACCATAGAAATGTGTTGGAACTAGCCAGACAATGCCTGGGCAATGCTGGGAGTGGACGAGTGCCACCGAACCGTACCCTGTTGGGTAGTTAAGAGCTACTTTTACGTTCTGTGATTTTTACTTCCATTTTTACAAAGTGGAAGGGGAGAAAGGCAAGTTGCATAGGAGGAGCGTGGAGTCTGGCCACCGGACTAGGTCTTGCACAGTAACTGTGGGGGCAACTGCTCCGCAGCGGCGGAAGCTCTCCGCACAGCCTCGGCTGAGCACCAGAGCTGTGTGAGTGCGCTTGCGCATCTGCTCGGCTAAGGCAGCCTGCCTGTCCATGTGTATGTGTGTGTGTGTGTGTGTGTGTGTGATTATATGTATATGTGTGCATGTGTGCACAGCCCCGTTTCCTCCATCTTGTCTGTATGGCTTGATGTTTTGGTTTTTAAACCGTTACACCCCACCAGCAGTAATAACAAAAACACTGACATTATTATGTCTATTACTAAATAACGGCAAGTACTATGTATTGACAGCCTGCTGTGAGTCAGGGACCCTGATAAGTGCTTGCATGCCTCATCTCAATGCTGGCTTATTTCTAAAAAAATATTATTGTCATTTTTATTTTGAGAGGCAGAGAGAGAGAGAGAGAGAGAGAGAGAGAGAGAACTCTCCTCTCATGGTTCATTCTTCAAACGCCTGTGTTGTTGGGAAGCCAGCAACTAAGGATTCAATCCATGTCTTCCTCGTGGGTGACAGGAACTCAACCACTGGAGTCACCCAAGGTGCACACAGCATCAGAGCGGGGACTTCAGCATGGAACACGGATGTCCAAGCTGGTGGCTTCACCACGGGGCCAATACCTCCCCAGCAGCATCTCAGTTAATACAGCAACCCATGAGAAAGAAATCCTCTCCATTTCTCAGGTAAGAAAACTGAGGGTCACAGGAAGTACTTACCCAAGGTCACATTTGAGTGAGTGACAGGGCCAGAATTGTAATTAGGGCCATCCGCCTGATGCCAGAGATTTAATAGAGGAGGGAAAGTGTAGTGCTTCAAATCACGGGAAAAGTCTTAGGGCATAAAAAGGCATTTTCAAGAGATGCACCATCACTCTAGCCAAAAGAACAACCACTGTCAACACGCTAACATATTTACTTCTAACGGTGCCACTGACATAAAGCTGCAGTTGGGCTCGTGTGTAGTGCGTTTCCCCTTGCACTGTCCAGTAAGCATCCTCCTCCAGTTCCCCCAAACATATCAGTTAGCACAGCTCTGTGACACTCTGTCTCAGGACACCACAACCAACTCTCACCTGACTGTGGAGCAAGGGGCAGCTTTCCAGCGAGAGCAGCATCAGCAATGCTACGTTGAGCCTTTTCCGTCCACCCGCATTCTCCAAACCCATGCTGCTTTCCCAAGGACTTCCGGATTCTAGATGTGCACGGGACTTCATGTGCTCATCTGGAAGCCTGTCTGGGTAACAGCCTCACCTGCAGAAGTTTCTACCCTCTCCCCTCCCCGCCCCCGAAGCTAGGAGCAGAATCTTCAGGATGGGCGGCAGCTCGCTTTGGCGTCTCTGGCCGTCAGAACTGTGCCGGGACTTACACTCCCACCCACCCTCTGCTGGCCTGATTGCACAGCCTGCACTTTAAAAAAGTATATTTATTTGAAAGGTAGAGTTACAGATAGACAGAGGGAGAGACAGAGAGAGAGAGGTCTTCTACCTGCTGGTTCACTCCCCAAATGGCCATAATGGCAGGAGCTGAGCCAATCCAAAGCCAGGAGCCAGGAGGTTCCTCCAGGTCTCCCATGTGGGTGCAGGGGCCCACGCACCTGGGCCATCCTCTCCTGCTTTACCAGGCCATAAGCACAGAGCTGGATCAGAAGAGGAGCAGCCAGGACACAAACCAGCACCCATAGGGGATGTTGGTACTGCAGGCGGAGGCTTAGCCCACTGCACCAGCCCCCAGCCTGCACTCTTGACCAAAGAGAAGGTTCCTCCCCTCACCACACTAACTCCTGGCCAGCAAAGCCTCAGGGCTCCTGGCCATCATCCAGCTCCTAACAGGAGGCCCCACCTACTTTCTTGAGCTCTGCCACACACACACAGGTACTACATGCCACAGGCACTATGATTAACCCGATTAAAAAAAAAAAAAATGAAAGTGATGTTTGTTTCTTGAATCAAGTTACTGGCGAAGGAAAGTGTATCTTATTATGGTAAGCTGAAAACACCAGCTCTTCCTGGATAGGAATGAACACAACGAACTTAAAACAGGCTGAGTGCTGTTGCCTCCTCATCCAGAACCCAGCCTTTGTCTACCGGTGAGATGAGCAAGGTATTGAATGCCCACCAGCGCCAAATCAAGTTCACTCCCCAGCTAAATCACAAAGAGTGCAAAGGACTGGAGACAAGACTCTCTCACTAGGCGATTCAATGTTACTTAACACCTGGCTTAGGTAACACACACAACCATTGGGTACCAGCCCCTGT